CTTTCCGGACCCAACGGCGTTTCTCCATACCGCTAGTGGCGGTCATAGGGTATTCACCACCTGCAGGTTGACAGTTAGCCAGATCCAGAGTGCCGAAGCCAAGGCTGGGGATACATACCAACACCGATACCGTAGAAAAACAGGGACCAAGCGTAACAGACGACCCAGCCATTCTGGGTCACACCCCAAGCGGCGGTAAGCATCAGCAGACCGATAAACATGATGGTAGCATCCTGGATCAAACCCCAACGACGACCAATCCTAAATAACCCGGTCAGAAAATGTCACCGCGATGCGGACCACTCCATCCCAGTGAAAGCATACCAGTCACCCAGAACTCCAACCAATATCTGACCGACGATGATACCGACGATTTCGAGGTAATCGACGGCGTGAATCCACTGAACATTGCAGATTTCGTTCTTTTTCCAGCAGGCGGGGAAGGCGGCTTGGAAAAGGGGCTTGAGGTTTCCAATGGAGAAGAGCACGTAGCTGCAGGAATGAGGTATTAGCCACCTCCACCATACTTCTCGGCGGTCTCGGGACATGCAACTCACCCTTCCAGACCCAGACCAGCACCGGGAAGGACCATGTTTCGGAAATAATAAGAGACTGGGGAAAGAGGATCCTTCTTGGTCATCTCCCAGATGCTGCCCAGCTCACGCTTGGCCTCTTTAGCGTCGTAGGAGCTGACGAACTTGATCCGGCGGAAGATGTTGAGATCGGCCCAGTACGTGCCATCGGGGGTGTAGCTGTCGTCGGGGCGAATCAGAGCGTCGAAGGCGCCCTTCTCGTTGATATCCATGTCCTCGAGAGGATCATGGGTCCCCGACATATCGGGGCCGTGAGGAGCACGAGGGCCAAAATCGGTCATCTTGACTGGTCTACGCCTTGAACGTGGAGGATCCCAAGAGATTGCAAGCTTCAACGGATGCTCTTGGCTCGAGAATCTGAGGGCTTGGGACGGGTTGGAATGCCCCTGGAAAGATCAAGGTCGAGGAGTTGACCGTGGTGAGGCGTGGCACACGATGCAAGCCAAGTTGAACAAGGTCTGGGCTTGGGCTTATATACCGGGACAGCCAAGGAAGCACTGAAATCTCTGGGCGCAGGAAGGCGACGTCCAGCGCGCTAGGTTTCTCCAGGCACATGGGTCAATTGCGCCGTATGATAAGCCAGCGCATGACGGGGATCCACGGCCGACGAGACTCAGAGACTTCTGTCAGTGGCAGAGCGAGGTCGAGAGTCTCCATCGCCCAGACCGGGAAGGAAACGGTGGAGTCGGGTGGCCACTTTTTTTTTTCTCTTTCTTTTTTCTTTTCTTTTTCAACCCACTACGGAGCGGGGAAATGGGGTTATTTCTGCCGGAATGGACGAGTAATTTCATTGGAATTTTCATTTTCTCGAATCAATAATAATAATTAACCTTTCGCATTAAAATAGGTAGAGGGGGGGCGACTGAGTGTACCTCGTAAAAGGAAGCGGACGGTTATTTAATCATCACCGGCTCACTTGTGCGGAAAGCTGAAGAGGGAGGAGCCTAGGCAATCCTCGTCAAGCATTGCCACTCTTTGAAGCGTAAAATCCTGCACCAACGCACAAGAAACAACCCGCTAGACCATTTCCAATGTTTGCGATCTCATGGAAGCCCTACAAAACATATGCTCACAGAAACATCTTACTTTACAAAGTATAGTAAA